TAATTATATTAGACCTAATTGGTAGCACAGGGCTTCAGCACCCCATGGCATTAAAAGGGGTCACTTGTTGGTATTTAAACAAGCAGACGTTCTTCTCTATAGGTTTTATGGTGGTTTTACCCTTGTTCCTGATGCCTTGGCAGGGATGTATGCCAGTAAGTTGCAAATATAGATGAAATAAATAGATTTCTGAGAACACGTAATTTCCTAAAACTGAATCATACATAGAACATCTGAATAGATCTGTAACTAGAGTAAAGAGATTGAACCAGTAATCAAAATAGCGCAACAAAGAAAAGCCCTGGACAGATGGCTTTACATATGAATTCTACCAAACATTTACTAACATCAATTTTTATCAGACTTTTCCAAACTGCAGAGAACACTTCCTAACTCATACTATGAAGACAGAATTACCCTGATACTAAAGCCAAAGATGTTAGAAGAAAACTATAGGCCAATATCCCTTATTAAGACAGTAATATCGGAGGCTAGGGATGTAACTCAGTGGCAGAGCACTTGCCCAGCATGTGTGAGCCCTGGGTTCGATCTCCAGCATAACAACAACAACAACAACAAAAAAAAAAAAAAAAAAAGGAAGGGGAGAGAGAATTAATAATACCACCATAAAGAATCAACTAAATACCCTAAGTAAACTTAACACATAAAACAAAATACTTGAACACTGAAAACTATAAAACATTGCTGGAAGAAATACAAAAGACATAAATAAATGGAAATACATCTGTTATGAATTGATGAATTGTAAGACTTACTTCTATTAAGGTATCAGTACTTGCCATGGTGACTTAGAGTATCAATGCAGAATTATGAAAATTCCAATGATTTTTTTTGAGAATAGAAAAATGCTATCTCAAGGGTCCCTGAAGAGCTGAAACAATCTTGAAAAAGAATGTTTTAAGAAAGACTAAGACTTCCTTATTTCAAGACTTATTACAAAACTATAGTAATGAAAATGGTGTGGTATTGGCATAAAGACAGATCTATAGGCCAATGAAATGCAACAGGGAGTCCAAAACAAACCTTAGCATATACGGTCAAATGATTTTCAATAATAGTGCCAAAAAAATTCAATAGGAAAAGCACAGTCTTTTCAGCAAATGGTGCTGAGGAAATTGGATATCAACATGTAAAATAATGAAACTGAATCCTTCCCTTTTATCATATATAAAAATTAACACCAAAAAGACCAAAAATCTTGTCATAAGAGCTAAGAAAAAACACAGGGGGAAAGCTTCATGACACTAGATTTGGCAATGATTTCTTGGATAAAATTACTGAAAGCCATAGACATAAAAAGAAAAAAATAGGTAACTGAACTTCATAAAAATTTAAAACTACTGTGCATCAAAGGACACTATCTAGAAAGTAAAATGACAATCCACAGTATGGGAGAAAATATTTGTAAATCATATATCTGATTGGAGATTATTATCTAGAATACATACACAGTGCACACATATATAACTCCCACAATGCAACAACCAATAAACAATCTGATTTACAAATGGGCAAAAGACTTGAATAAACATTTCTGTAAATAAGATATATAAGTAGTCATTAAGCACATGAAAAGATGCTGATTAGGGAAATGCAAATTAAACTGGACACAACTTTATACTCACTAAAATAACTATTATAAGACAAAAACAAAAACAAAAAAATAGTAAGAAGTGTTGGTCATGATGTGGAGAACCTGGAACCCTTGTGCATTGCTGATGGGAATGTAAAATAGTAGAGAAGCTATGGGAAACTTTGGCATTTCCAAACTATTACACATAGGATTATCACATAATCATGATCCAGCAATTCTACTTCTTAGTATAGGCCCAAAAAGATTGAAAAAAAATGGACTCAGATACTTGTATACAAATGTTCACAATGGCACTATTCCTGAATCCAAATCTAAAAACCAAAGTGTTCATCAACAGGTAATGGAACAGCAAACTATAAGTATATACATGCAATGGAATATTTTTAAGTCTTAAGATTTTTAGATAACATAGGTAAAACTTGAAAATGTTATGCTAAATAAGCCAGACACTAAAGGGCAAATATTATGTGATTCCATTAAATGAGATACTCAGAATAGCTAAATTCATAGAAAGTAGAATAGAGGTTATAAAGGGCTTGAAGTGTCGGCGAAGAGAGATGAAAAATTATCGTTTAATAAATACAGAGTTTCAGTATGGGAATATGAATAAGTTTTGAAAATGAATGGTGATGGTTTCTTGATATTGTGACTATAAGCCACTTAATTATTTATAAAATAGTTAAAATGGTAAATTTTATGTTATATTTTATCTCAATTAAAAATGTTCTGGATTCATAGAGAATAGAATAAGATATATAACATAAACATAATTTTATATGACAAAATGTGCCTGTAAAACAATATTCATGTTGCAAGAACACACACATGACTTATTAACACTAGCGAGATAAGAACTCAAACTATAATATTGACCTAACAATGCAATGTACATTTTTTAAAAGTTATTTTTGTAGTTGTAGATTGACAGAATGCTTTTATTTGCTTATTTTTGTGTGGTGCTAAGGATTGAACCCAGGGTCTCGCACAACCTAGGCAAGCACTCTGCCACTGAGCTACAGCCCCAGCAATGTGCTTTTTTTTTTTTTTAAATGTTGATGGACCTCTATTTTATTCATTTATTTTATGCAGTGCTGAGAATTGAACCCAGTGCCTTATATATGCTAGGCAAGCACTCTGCCACTGAGCTACAGCCCTAGCCCCTGCAATGTACTTTTAATCAATATACTAATAGTAAATTTTTTGTAGAATAAAATGATCCTGAATTTTTTTTATTCTGAATTTTATATGAAAATGCCAAGGGTCAAAAATAGCTAAGAGAGTCTCTGAAGAAAGGTCAAAAGAGGGGCTGGAGTTGTAGATTAGTGGTAAAGCACTTGCCTAGCATGTGTGAGACACTGGGTTCGATTCTCAGCACCACATATAAAACAAATAAATCAATAAAATCCATCAATAACTAATAAAAATATTTAAAAAAAGAAAGGGCAAAGGGCTGAGATTGGGCTTCAGTGATAGAGCACTTGCCTGATACATGTGAGGTACTGGGTTTGGTCCTCAGCACCACATAAATAAAATAAAGTTATTGAGTCCATCTACAGCACCACCAAAAAAAAAAAAAAAAGATGGCTAGATAAAAAAGTGAGATATATATATATATATACACACACACACACACATATATATATATATATATATATATATATAAGAATGAAATTATGGCAGTGAATGGATGGAACTGGAGAGTATCATTCTAAGTGAAATAAGCCAATCCCCCAAAATCAAAGGATGAATGTTCTCTCTGAGATGTGGATGCTGACACACAGTAAGAGGAGGAGGAGGAAAAAATAGAAGTTCAATGGATTATACAAAGGAAAATAAAGAGGAGGGAGGGGAGATGGGAATAGGAAAGACAGTAGAATGAATTGGACATACCTCTCCTATGTTAATACATGAATACATGACCAGTGTAACTCCATATCATGTACAACCACAAGAATGGTAATTATACCCAATGTATGTATGATATGTCAAAATGCATTATACTGTCATGTACAACTAAAAAGAATTTTAAAAAATTTAAAAAGTATTTGATCTACAAGGCTTAAGACTTATACAATTATTATAATTAAGATAGTGGAATAAGTAAGGCAATGTACTAAAGATAACACAAGGAATAACAATTAGCCTAATACAAAGAAACAACAGCCTAATAGAAACAAATCTACATATACACAGACTGTTGATTTACAATAAAATGATTTTGAAGAGCAGCCGTGAAATTATGGTCTTTTCAATAACTAATAGTGGGACAACTGGATAGCCATATGGGGAAAAAAAAAAGAAACTTAGTCACTACCTAACATCATAAGCAACATAAATTCCATATATATATATAAAACATAAACAATGAAGGTTTGGGAGATAATATGAGAGAGATTTCCTATTTCCTATTTAAGAAGATAATACAGCATATGGGATCCCATGAACAGTATATTATCATCTTTTTTAAAAAATACTTTTTATTTATTCGTATATGGTGCTGCTGGGGATTGAACCCAGTGCCTCACACATGCTAGGCAAGTGCTCTGCCACTGAGCTACAGCCCCAGCCCCCAGTATATTATCTTTTAAAAAATTTTTAAAAAATATTTTAGTTGTAATTGGACACAATATCTTTATTTTATTTTTATGTAGTGCTGAAGATCGAACCCAGGGTCTCGCATATGCTAGGTGAGCACTCTACTGCTGAGCCACAATCTCAGCCCCAGTATATTATCTTCTTAACCAGAAGATAAAGAGGAAATAATGATAAGTTTAACCATATTAAAGATTGTTGAATCCCTAAGTTTACCAACTCTAAACCATTTACAACCTTTTCTTAGTCCCTCTATCAGTTTTCTGCTTTGAAAGATCCATCTTAAACCAGTGTCCTACTCAAACACCTCCCTTTTTAACTGTAATCAAGACTCTGCATCAAGTTGATGTTCTTCCTTGCTCCAGTAGGTTTAATAAGCTCAGCTTTATTTGATCAATTGACAATTTATAGGGTTTTTTGAGATATATACTGAAATCATTATAGATAAAAGTATATTTCTCAGATGTGCTCCAAAATAAATCAATGAAAAAGAAAGTAGGTAGAGAGATTACTCATTAAATTGTTCATACTGCATAATGTTACATGGGAGGTCATTAGGCTATTCTGTCTACTTTTGTTTATATTTTAAATTCTTTGTAATAATTTTAAAAAGTTATTTTTCTTTTCACAGTCCTCAACAGGGGCTGTTCATTAAGGTCACAAGACAATTATGCTCCATGACTATTACTACTGGACTTATATTTAGAAAATACCTAGCAAAAACCTGTTTTACTAGATTTTGCAGTTCTGTCACTGATCAAATGCAAAGTGGTAAAGATTTTAGAGACATATCTATTTAAAAAATTTTTTTTAGTTGTTGATAAACTTTTAGTTATTTACATACAATATTGAGAATTGAACCCAGTGCCTCAATCACACCAGGAAAGTACACTACTGCTGAGCCCCAGCCCTAGCCCAAGAAAATAGCTATTTTTAATGCCTTCCACAACACTTCTGATACAGAACAAAAAATAGATAAAATTAACTTAAATGACATTTAAATAATTAAAAGAAAAAAAGAGGATATTTTCTGTGTCTTGTGTTTTATTTAATCAAAGAGTAAAACCGTATTAGGGTGAGCTGAGTTTTAGAATGTACTCCCTCTTACATTTTATTCTAGAAAAATGAAAGTTCTTATTCTTTCTTAGCATTTTGGACCCTGAAACTGGTCAATATTAGGATTCCATACACACGGATAGTGATGCTTGATTTGAGGGTTTGAATAGTCAGTCATGTAAATTGACTTTTCTGTGCATTTGTATTGAGAGGAATTCAGTTCAGGTTGATGTCCTGGGAACCAATGAGGCTCTCGCTTAAATCCTGAGGGAAGAAAAGACAAATGGAAACAGTCAACAAGGAGTTTTAACAGATTTTTCACTCTTATTTGAGTGAATAGACATCAAGACCTGTCAAAAGTTGAGAAAAGAGAGAAAGTGTTCAATTATTCACCCATTTAGTTTACTGTTTATTTCAGTTCCTTCTATGTGCCAGACACAGTACAGTTCTGAGAATGTAAGAATTAAAAAACTAATACACCTACTATGGGTTGAAAGTGGTATTTTGCTGTTGTAGCTTGTATCATATGTTGTTTCAAAGTAGTGTCCAAACTGGAAAAGAAAAATTCATAGATTAAGAATCTAGGAGTCTATAGCTAATATTGGAAAATAAAGGATAATATAATATGAATTCTAATGGGCTCTGTCATATTTGAGATAGCCTAGAGGCCTACATGTTGTTATCCCCATCCTACTAGCTTTCATATCCTTTGTATGTTTAGGAGATATTTAAGGGCAAGATTCAAATAAAAGTCAAGTCCAGATGGTTTAACAGATGAATTCCAAACAGAAACAACAGAAAAAGTGTACTACCCATCTGGTTGATACCTTACACATACTATTACTCTTGATAGTAAAGTTGGATAGGTGGTCCAGCTTAAGACTGCTCCCCTCCCCCAATCATTTTACTGAATGGAAACCTCAGAAGTTATCAGATTCCTGCTTCTCAAATGGCCATTGTCATTTTCTTCTGCAAACAGAAGGAAGTAAGAGAGAAAGATTACCTGGGAAGGCAAAGGTTTGGGCTGTACCATATTTCTTATGTCATATCTTTCTTGGTTCCAGTTGCCTACCAGGGTACGGTTTGAATAGGAATTTTCATTAGTGGAACATCTCCATCCATATTGGAAAAATTTTGATATATCATTCCAATCTGTCCACACTTCGCCATGGCCATCTGCATTAATGAGGCTGCCACAGTGTGGGTTGATGAGGACACAGACAAGGTTCTTTCCCTGGAAAAAAACAAGAATAGAAAAGCTTATTGCATAAACCAGAGAACAGAAAAGTCATCCCTTCCTATCCTCTGCTTTATATAGCAGGATATAACATAAGTCCACCTTTCTAATACTCGAGGTTTTCCTTCAAATTAAATTGATGTTTCTTCCTCTCCAGGTCCATCAATCCCTGAACCTATCCTCTCAAATCAGCAATGAATGACTATATAAATGCCACCCTCACCTTGAAAAGACAGGAAAACCTTCAGTATTCCCAATACTATATGGAGAATTCACTGAATATCTTGGTAATTTTGAGATGTAGAAGTTGAGGGACTGGGGCTGGGGTTGTGGTTCAGTGGTAGAGCGCTTGCCTAGCATCACATAAAAATAAATTAAAAAAATAAAATTCCATCAACAAATTAAAGAAATTAAAAAAAAGAAGTTGAGAGACTGAGGGTATTGCTACAGACAGAGAATGAGAAGAAATAAGAATTGAATAACCAGATAACACAATAATCAGGTAATGATAAATTCCTTCCTTCTAGGCCCACTCAAAGAATGCTTTCCCTGAAGTTAACTTCTCTTTCCTTTTATCTCATATACAACTTTATCTTTGCCTCTTTCACTGTATTATATCTTCCTATCACATTATAGTTCTTCAAGTATATGTGTTATCTCCCCTACTGAACTATATGGTCCTTGAGCATAGGGTCTGTTTTATTCATTATTGTACCCTATTCCTCTGCCTGCCCTCCCAATCAATACCACTTAGCATATAGTAGAAGATCAATATCTGAATTTCATTTTTTTTTGGGAAAGAAAGAAAAAGGCAAACCTTTTTTTTTTTTCTTGCCAAAAATATTAGTCCCCTGGCTTAGGAACAATGCAATACCTTCTCTGAAGAAGAGCTTGAAGAGACTAACTTCTTTAAAAATTTAAAAGAGTTACAGTAATCCTTATGTGGTTGTTCCATGTCTGTTGGGAATATGTCAGCAAACCTGGTATTTCCAATTTTCCAAGGAAAAAAAAAGAATATAGATCACTATGACCACATGGTCATGATTGGGAGCCACAACCCAGCTGCCTTTTGGCAGGCAGAGATAAAGCAAGTATGGCAGCATTAAAGGGTGGCATCTCAGATAACTGCCTTCACACCAAGTGCCTTTGTGAAGACAGATGCATACAATGATGTCACCAAACAGTATGATGACTAGAGCAGCAGGTCCCACATAGTCCAATAGGCCTAATACTTAGATTGGAGAACTAGGTGACGCTGTCCCTAGGGCTGGAATGAGACATTGCCATCCACTGCTGTCCAAATCAGAAGCCTGAGGCTTATCTTTGACTGAGACTTCTCTTTCAGAATTCATCAAATCACTTAAGTCTTGCTGATTTTTGAGTTAGTCCACTACTTTCTATTTTCACTGCCAAGTTTCAACTCAGGTCACTGTCAGTCTTTGTTTCCATTGCTGGGGTAGCCTTTTATTTGATTTCCTTGCTATCAATTTTGTTTCTCTCCAATCCTTTCTCCACAGGAAAGCGGATTTTTTTTTAAAAAAAATATTTTTAGTTGTAGATGGGAATACCTTCATATTTATTTATTGATTTTTATGTGGTGCTGAGGATTGAACCCAGTGCCCTCACACATGCTAGGCAAGTGCTCTACCACTGAGCCACAACTCCAGTCTAGAAAGCAGAATTTTTATTTTTTATTTTTTTAGTTTATTTGACACAATACTTTTATTTTATTTATTCTTATGTGGTGCTGAGGATCGAACCCAAGGCTTTGTACTTGCTAGGTGAGCGCTCATCCACTGAGCCATAGCCACAGCCCCTAGAAAGCAAAATTTTTGAAAACAAAAGTCTTATTGTGTCTATCTTTCTACTTAAAATCTTTTAGTGGCTTTCAGTTTTCAGAATAAGGTTCAGGCTGTTAAAATGGCTTACAACAACCACTCTATATGACCTAGCCCCTGCTTTAATTCTTCAGTCTCATGTTACCCACTCACCTCAACTGTTTCAGACAAACTCAATCATTTTGCTTTTGCATACATTGTTGCTTCTGCCTCATCACTGCTTTGGATGCAGGCAAGTCTCCCCCGAAGCCTCCTATTAGCTTTCAACTCAGATTCACTTCAGGAAAATTGCCTCCAAACTTAGTAAGGTTCTCTTTTGTGCTTCCATGGAACCCTAAATTACTACACTCAAAGCACATACTCCGCGATCTGAGCTGCCTCTTTTGCTGTGTGTATTCTCCACTAGGCCACATCTTGTCCACCCACATATAGAACCGCCCTCACAGAAGCCTGGCATATAATAGGCACTCAATATTTCTTAAATGAATAGAAGGTAGGAGACAGAAGCACCTGGTCAAATTCTGAGCAGCAGAGAAAATGGGAAGCAGCCATTTGGACAAGATGAAGGCAGTTACAATATCTGAGTCAGGAACCTGCAGGACACAGCCCAACCTCTTCTTGGCTTCAGCCCCACCCCGCTTTTTGCACTCATTACTCAACCCTCTGCGCTTGTGACCTCATGCAGGTGTGACGAAGACGCTCAAGGCAATCCAAGAACTAAAAGGCATTTTGATGTTCCTGAGAGGTGAGGTGAGAGAACAGATGGATGGATATCTCGCTTTTGCATTCATGGTCATAGTCCTCCTAGGGAGTCGCTGCACCAGTTTGTCAAAGACAACCAGGCGCTGTGGGTGCGTCATCAAACAGTGACCGGTGGGGAAGGAGCGGGCAGAAATCTGTGAAGGAAGTGACGTCAAACGAGCGCCACAGATAATGCGTGAGGTAAAGCAGTGAAGGCCATGGGCCCTCGGCGCCTCCTGTTGGTTGGGGAGGGGAATTTCTCCTTCGCCGCCGCTCTAAGCGAGACCCTGGATTCTGGCGTTTGTCTCACTGCCACCTGCCTTCAGCACCCGGCGGAGTTGGCCCGGGATCCGGTGGCCCGGGAGAATCTGCAGCGCTTGCGCGAGCGAGGTAGCGAGACCCGCCCTCCCGCGAAGCCCCGCCCCCGCGAAGCCCTACCTATCCGCCTGCGCCTCTTAGCCGAAGGGGTGGGGATGTGGGGATTACTCTGGAGCTTCCTAACCATTTCGCAGGAATCCTTGTGTGTTGCTAGGCCAAGACTGGTTTTCATGGCATCCTGGAGGGTTTGGGAGTTGTTTTCTTTTTCTTTTTTTTCCCCTAATGCTTGATCTTAAGACATTTTCCTATCTGTATTCTGCGTCTCTAAACTTCCTTTGCCAGGTACCGAGATACGTTTCGGTGTAGACTGCACCCAATTGGCAAATGCTTTTGAACTACAGGACAGAGAGTTTGATCGAATTTATTTTAATTTTCCGCACTGTGGACGCAAAGCTGGAGTAGCTAAGAACAGGAAGCTACTTGCCAAGTTTTTCCAGAGGTGAGGAGAGCCATCACAAGTAAAATGTTTACAATGTACATAACATAGTGCACTCAAATACTATAAGTTTAGAATATAAAGCTCCGAAGGACTCCAAAGCTTACTTGGAAAGGCATACATACAACCCTGAATGCTAAATAAAAGTAGAAATAGCATGCTTTTGATAATAAAGGGGATATTATTATTTTATATTTATTTATTTATTTAAAATATTTATTTATTTATGTATTTATATGTGGTGCCGAGGATCGAACCCAGTGCCTCATACATGCAAGGCAAGCACTCTATCACTGAGTTACAGCCCCAGCTCCTTATATTTATTTTTAAAATTTTTTTTTAGTTGTAGATGGACACAATATCTTTATTTTTATGTGGTGCTGAGGATCGAACTCAGTGCCTCACGCATGTGAGGCTTGTGCTCTACCACTGACCTACAACTTCAGCCCAAGGGATTATTTTTAATGCAAAATATTGACAGCCAGTATAGTTGGATGCTGAGCATGGGTTTAGGAGCTGAACAGCCTGGATTCAAATCTGGCCCACCACTTAACAGTTGACGATTATAGGCAAATACTTATTCCATTAGATACTTCTATTTTCTCTTCTATAAACTGAGGATGCTAATGGTAACTGCCTCATAAAATTATTGAGTTTAAAATCATACTAGAATTTATAGTTTTGTTTATTTTTTTTTTCCTTTGGGTACTGTCGATTGAACCCAGGGACACTTTACTATTGAGCTACATGCTCAGTACTTTTTATTTTAAATTTTGAGTCAGGGTCTTGCCAAATTGCTTAGGGCCTCCTAAGTTGCTGAGGCTGGCCTTGAACTTGGAATCCTCCTGCCTCAGCAGCCTAAATTACTGGGATTACAGGTTGTGTCCCTGTGCCCAGCAAAGTATTAATAGAATTTTGATAGGCAGAAGGCAGTGGAAAAAATTACTAAATGGGAAGCAACAGCCCAAGCAGTGAATCATGTATAGGAACTTTGCAAATATTGAACTTTCTGTGACATATTAATGAACAACACAAATGCATAGCAGATGATGAATGTTGTTAAAGGGCATTTGACTACATTGATCTTGTATGTTTGAGGTTTAGCAGACCTTGCAAGTATGATTGGGTTTTAATTATTTCAAGGCTAAGCTGTGTGTATATTACTGCCCTTACGGTAATTTATACTTGTTTCTGATAAATTTCTGTTTTTTTTTCCCCTGTACAAGCTGTGTGGATGTTCTTGCAGAGGAAGGAGAAGTGCATGTGGCATTGTGTAGAGGACAAGGTGGAACTTCTGCTGATAAGCCCCAGAGAGAATGGCACAACAGTTGGCAAGTGGTTGCCATGGCTGCTCTTGGGGGCCTCATTTTAAGTGATGTGCTTCCCTTCAGGTGTGAGGCTGTGCCAGGATACAAATGCACTGGATATAGGTAAGTAATAATGTAAGCCTAGGCCTTTTCCTTGTTCATCTCTCTCACTAATGACAAGAAATACTATAGAGATTTTCCCCTGCCAATTTCCCAGTCCAGTCTCTAGAAATATTAGAAATACTTGCTTTCTTTAATAATGATAGATTTCATATTAATGTCTTTTCTGCCAGGAGTCAAGATAAGTCCTTTCACATAGAAGGTGCTTTGAATCATATCTTTACCCGGAGCCTACCTTTTGAAGGTTCTCAGCCCAGAGTCTTCAGTATAAAACTGGGAGACCAGGGGTTTTCCTTTTCAGAACCAAAAGCACTTGCAGGAAAGTTGAACAGGTAACTTATTATTTTGCTGGAAATCACTTCCATTTCTAATTGTATCCTAATTATCTTGGTGGCAATCATATTTTGAATAGATGATATATAAACTATTAATGAGGTTGTGCTTTGAATGCTTGTCACTAGGGCATATTGTAGGGGTAGTGGCTGCCAGAATTCTGGAATACATGTTATCTCTCCTGTGCTAGCAGTGTAGTTCAGTGGTCAAAGCTCATACCTATCATTTGTGAGACTCTGGGTTTGATAGCAAGAACTGGAAACAAACAAACAAAAAACCCCAAAAATCCTCTGTGATAGTTCTCTTTATGGTAGACCATTTCTTTGTTTCCTTTCAGGGTAAACGTAAGGATAATTCTTTTCTTTTTTTGGTACTGGGGCACTTAACTACTGAGCCACATCCCCAGCATCCCCAGCCCCTTTTTTGTGTGTTTATTTTTTAGTTGTAGTTTGACATATTACCTTTATTATTTATTTATTTATATGTAGTGCTGAAGATCGAACCCAGGGCCTCAAATGTGCTAGGCAAGCGTTCTACCACTGTGTCATAATCCCAGTCCCCCTTTTTAATATTTTATTTAGAGACAAGTTTTCACTGAATTGCTTAGGGCCTTGCTAAGTTACTGAGGCTGACTTTGAACTTGTGATCCTCCTGCCTCAGCCTCCCAAATCGTTGGGATTACAGGTGTGCATCACTGTGCCCGGCAAAGATAATTCTTTTCTGCATAACCATTTATGCTTTCAATTCTAGCTATATTATAATTATTATTTTAAGTGAGAAAAGCTTTATTTTGTGTGTGTCTTTAAATAGGGGTTTCCTGGAAGCATCTTCTTGTCATCCTATCAAAATCATAAATGAGAAACTCATTGTTGAAATGGGCAAAATTTTCCCTCTTAAAAGGCTGAAGTGTTCCCTCCCTTTGCTGCCACTGGAAGGTACCAGTGTTCTCCCTTCCTGGAACTGTGACAG